AATGATTGCCCGTGTGATGTTCTCCTCCTGCATCCTCTGACAGTACATCTTAATTGTCTTGATACCAACTTTGGGCTCCTCTGAAAAGAAATTGAGAAAAAAAAAGGGTGAGACTTTATGAAATTATATACCTACAAGTAACATACAAAGATAAACAAACATGCTCAGAAACACACATTTTTACAAATGCAAATTAGTGCAGGTGTCATTAAACAGCTTTACTGCTAATCCCTTCAAAGTCTTCTCCTTATGAAGCGCTGCACGATTCCCACTCCTGTTATTTCCACCTTGAAGACTTGGTCTGATCAGTTGTTGGAGTGTGTTACAATTTCACCATTAGGTAAGCTTTCACACTGTCCCTCCTGGTTTCAGGAAAATGTTACACAAGAGAAAATGGTGAGCCCTGTTGATGCAGAAGAGGATGTGAGCAGAGAGAAGACTAAACCTGAGGTTGACAAGACAGAGGAGGGATGTGGTGAGTTTTAAAGGCCAAGTTGTGTAATTTTATAGTAAATGATTTGCTCTTGAAAATGTCATATACATTTATCACTTATTTATCTGCATTCAGGAAGCTCTTTGGGGTCATTGGGCTCCAGTGAGCAGCTCCCAGACTCTGACTCTGAGCTGGACGAGAGGCACTCCCACAGCCTTACGAAGCAGGAGAGCGTGAGCATAGACGATGACCAGCTGAGCTACAGGGACAGTTTGGACCTGTCCAGTCAGTCTGCAATCCACATCGAGCCCGAACAAGATCAGGATCAGGAAAACCCAGAGGGAGAAGAACCCCCCGCTCTGCCAGACAGCGGGCCCCCAGAAGAAGGTGCTGGAGAAGAGCAGGATCTGAGTGCTTCTCTGGCCGAGCTCAACGTGAATCAGTCCAACAATAACAACAATTACCACCCGTGCTCTCCCACGCTGAGCCTGTCGGGCCTTCCACTGGCACGTCTCTGTGGAAAGAAATTACCACTGACGAGAAATCGAGACAGCGAGCCAGACTTCGTCTGATATTGTCAATCGTGTCTGTTCGTCTTTAAATTTCAAGTTAATGAAAGCCTAACGGTCTGCCGTGTAAATAGGTCAAATAAAGTATATAACAGAGTAGACAACAGTCATTACTGACAATAACAGCACATATAGCGTATTTATGGTGCAGATGTTGGAATAATTAAGGGATGGAACAGGTGTGTGTGTGTGTGTGTGTGTGTGTGTGTGTGTGTATACATGAGGATTGACTATAAACACATATAGACATGTACAACATTCAGCTGGCTGTCACGTGGCTGTCACTCACTGATAATTGAGATTCACAGCAAGATTAACCATACTCATTTGAATACTGTTGATTGCAACAAGCAGCCTTACTTTGCATTGCAAATGTGAAACACCTGTAGTTCAAGTTTTTTATCAGTGAAATTGAACATGAGTTCGGTAGAGGTTCCCAAAAAGTTGATTCTGTTCATCTAGACGTCGAGTTTTCAGTGGGAGAAACATTTTGTATGACTAAAACTATGCATTATACATAGTTTATATATGTTACCTACACTATTGAAATGGCACATTACACCTTTGTAATCATTTTTGGGTTTTTTTAACGTTCTTCCTAATTAGATGTCACAAGTTTTTCTACCTAGTCACAAGTTACAGCTGTTCCCAGGCTACGATGGTTAAGATGATAATCATTATATTAACTGTTTTCTCACTAGCTCATGATATTGTCCCTTTTGTTATCACAGGACAGGGGCATAAGTCATGGGGCTCAACAGTGAGCGATGACAGCGTTGTAGGAGATGGAGGCCTGGATTCTCCAACTGCCAGCACAAGTGAGCGGAGACACGTGTTTTGTTAGTTTCGCGCTAATCCGTACCAAAACCCTGCTCCAGAGATGGCAGCATGCATTATAAACGTTCTCAAACTCACTTATTATAGGTGACATCGCTAAGATTGTTCGGACTGCATCGACTGGAACGATGTCGTCCAATGAGGATGCAGATGAAAAAGATGGAAATGTGTCCTCATTTGAAAGTCCAAGTAAGATTTTCAGATTGTACATGTTAAACCTGGCTATCGGTTGAGT